ATTTTTAATACTCAAGAGATAGAAAATGCTTGAGGTAATATATTTAACATTAATATTATAAAAACTAGAGATGTTTACTAAAAAAACTGTTAAATTTATTTATTATAATATATATAACATTTTTTTAAATCATATTTATATTTTAAAATTTTGAAATGGGCAAATGAAATTTAATCATTTTTGTTTATGTTCGTTAAAGCGCTGTTGATAAATATATTAATATAATAGCTTACACATTAATATAAATAGATTTATAGATCACTTATTTTAAAACAAATAATCTCTTATTTCTTTTGAAATAGGTGTCTGCCCCTATTTTTTTTTCGTATTTTGCAATTTAAAATATACTTTATTCGGCTTTACAAGAATTTTGATGAATTTTTTAATTTACTTGACTCAAATTACTCGAATTTTAGTTAATTCGAAACTCTTCAGAATTTAACTCGCGAGTCACAGACCGTTAATAATTACGAGTTTATGAACATTATTAAAGATTTAACGCATATTTAGAATAAATTCAGTTTAAAAAGATAAATTCATATTATTATACTATTAAACATAATGCAAAGTCGATTGCTGAGGACTTATAATAATTCATATTTTATACTATTAAACATAATGCAAAGACCGATTGCTGAGGACTTATAATACACAAGAAAAATTTATTTGCTTATAAACGTACAACACCCAATAACAAACACGTAGCTAACAACATGCGACAGGATTTAATTTGAAAGAAATATGAAATAATTCAGAATTGTAAGAATTGAGTAGGTATCAGGCAATACGGTATTTGTATTATAAATTATAACAGACAATACGGTATTTGCATTAAAAAATTTATTAATATATATACCAATATACTGAATCAGTGGAAAATGTAATTGAAAAGCTAAATTATGAAAAAATAATCAATAGATCTGATATTACTATGTTTGCTAGCAAATATAATCTCTGGAAATCTTTTAACAATAAAGTAACTTATTAGAGCTTGGCTTTGTATTGAAAAGTAAAAAGCGTCTAACCTTCTTATAACTAAAAAAAATAATATAATATTGGCTATTTTGAATAATCGCCTTTGTGAAATTCACACTCGTGGATATATAATATATTCTAACTATAGTAATTTGAAGATTTCTATTGTTTGCAATTTCCTTTCTACATTTAATCAATAACATTTTCCAATTTTTTAAATTTTGTCGTACTGATAAAAGTCCTTTTACAAAAGATAATGTATTAAGTGAATCCTTCTTATATGGAATTTGCTGATCCATTAGAACCCGAATTCGACCAAATGGAAACAGGGATTCATCATAATACAAAATCTTTAAATATGTTCCTACAATTATTATTTAAATATAATTACGAACTTAAAGTTCAAAATAAATATATTTTTAATGATTAAATTTTATTTACCATAGACTAAAAATAAGATTCTTGGTTGACTTCGAAGTTGTATAATTATTTCTTCAGATATGTACTTGTTATGAGCCCGTTTCAAATCTCTGATTATGTTTCTTGTACTATTTTTTGCTATTTTAATTAATTTTTGACGGTCAGACTCCCACTTAAATTCATCTATAACATTAAAGGGTAGCCCAGCAATTTCACAGTAAGCAAGTACAATTGTTGTTTCTTCTTCATTCCAACATATTCTTGAATCGGGACATTTATCATACAATTTTTCTTTCGTATTATTTGTTGTTTTTTTTAAAAGCTTTTGATCAATCGTTATTGCTTTGAAATTTTTTGTCGTTTGATCAACACTGTCACCCCTAATAAAATTTATTATATAATTATTATTTATTATTTTGTAAAGCATATACTATATCAATTTTGCTTACCAAACAATAGATATCTTTCATTAATATCATTAGATATAGCTTCGACCAGTGTTGTACGCAGACAGTCCCGGACAGTGTCCCATATCCCGGACAATGTTTCATGTCCGTGATAGTTGTCCCATGTCATATGGTTTATCGAACAACCTGATTGGCTAACACGGCTGTTCTTATTATAATTTTAATTGTCCGGGAC